AGACCTACCTGTCCTTTGTGTTGTATGTGTCAGACATGTCAGACGTATCTGTCCTTTGTGTTGTATGTGTCAGACATGTCAGACCTACTTGTCCACTGTGTTGTATGTGTCAGACATGTCAGACCTACCTGTCCTCGGTGTTGTATTTGTCAGACATGTCAGACCTACCTGTCCTCTGTGTAGTATGTGTCAAACCTACCTGTCCTCTGTGTTGTATTTGTCAGACATGTCAGACCTACCTGTCCTCGGTGTTGTATGTGTCAGACATGATCTCCAGAGCGCTCTCACTCTTGTTCTCCAGACCCACGATGGTAAAGGCCAGGCCAGGAACAAACAGTGCCAGGCCCAGAAACACCATCAGGAGCAGACGGCGCGGGGAGAACTTGTGTGTGCGCATGCGCGTCTGTCGCCGAGGGCCCCGGTGCCTGGGGAAGACACACAGACAAACAGACAAATAGACAAACAGACGAAATGAGTTGACCAGGCAGGCACTTCTGTTTTGTCCTGAGCTGTTGCTTGAAGATAAGATAAGATAAGTTAGATAAGATAAGATGAAATGGGATGAGATGAGATGAGATGAGATGAGATGAGATGAGATGAGATGAGATGAGATGAGATGACTTAATGTACCTTAAGATGACATAAGATACGGTAAGATGAGTTAAGATACGATAATGTTCAGTTTTAATCTGATAAAAGTTTTACAGCATTGGCAACACAATAAGGTGAAAAAGTGCCGACAGTTTCTAATTAGACGCATTCCTACATAGTAAAATATTATGGAGGCAATATAAGGACTTTAGTTTTTTTAGTTTTAGTAAGAGTTTTACGGCACTTGCACCGCAATAAGGTCATAGAAGTGCCGAAGATTTGAGGTGTTATAAGAGAGCAACAAACACAAAATAGAAGGAAGAGGAGAGATCAGGACGATAGATGTTTGATAGGAAAAAAGAAGCAAACCACACCAGAGCACCCGCCAACCACCCACAATATAAGGATAAGGAACAGAAGAGTTGTTTGATAGCATAGACGGAGCTAACCACATCGGTACACCCGCATATACATGTACCTACTCAGCAAAACACACACATACTATAACACTTCGTTTTTTTTTTATAGTAGACGGTTTTACGGCGCTCGCAACAACATAAGGTCATATGAGCGCCAAGGGGTGGGTGTCAACAGAGAAGTCCTTACAGGGAATCAGACTTAGACTGCTCACCTCTCTAGCTTCAACAGCACAAAGTCTGCTTCGACTATCAAGGCACCCCGGAAATAGCTGGTCACAAGAGAGTGACAAACATACAAAAGAAGTAGAGGAAAATGACGATAGTAAGGCACTGCTCCGGGGGATTATAACATTTCGTTAGCTCAGTTGTCAAGCATTATCATGTCGTTGATATGGCAACTTGGAGGGTTGGCTTTGGAATTGAGTAAATGGAACTACATCGGCAAAATAATTATGGCTTAGAGTTATGAAACAAACAGACAAAACAACAACACCAGTAAAAAACAACAACAACAACGTCAACAACAGCAGCAACAACAACAACAACAACAACTACAGGAAAGAACAGAAGTAAAACCTATACATAAATTATCCCGCTGTTTAGATAGGTATTTACTAGGCTGTGACCTTGACTGTCAAAGTTTGGTGTCTCGAATAGCTAAAGAGTCCTTGGAGGCTCTCGTGGCCTAGAGGTTAAGGTGTTGGCCTCTCAATCAAAGGTCCCGGGTTCGATTCCGTGTAGCGACCAAAACATTTTCTTCTCT